TCAGCTTTCATACGCATCTTTTGTATTCAATCTATCTATTATAGTTTTCGAGAAAATCAATGAAATGTAAAAACACTGCCCCTTTAGACTAGTTCGCGCCTCCCCTTAGACTTGTTCACGCCTGCCTCACAGTTTGGAAAACGCTGAATTAACTTATCATCATGGAATGGAATCAATTATGTAATGTTGCAAATACATAGTTTTTTTTATTTAAAAATTTCCTTAAAAAGTTTGGAGCGATCACGAATTTGTGTTGTTAAATTTCTTAATTGTTTTCTTGAGATTTTTTTTTAAATATTTGAGCCTAGAATACAGGCAACCAAATGTACATAACCTCCGTTACATCAAAATAAAAAAAACAACTTATGAACAAGATATTTAAGACTAAAAAAGTCAATGTAGTGAAAAACAAAATGATAAGATAAATTTTTCTTGTTATAAATATAGCATATAGATGTTTGCAAGTAAACATCTTCGCAAGTTATCAGTGTTTAATAAAGTAATTTCTGATAAACCAACAGTATCCGAGGTGTTGTCCTCTTATCTAACTCAGTGCAGTGAGCCCCCATGGACATCATACTTTATTAAGGTACAGCAATGAGAAAGTGTTAATTATTAAGTGTATCTTTTTAAATTTTTTAAAATTTACAGTACAGCAGTATCGTTGATGACCAATGGGGTAAATCTCATTTCAATTGGAAAGTGGGCGAATCAAACTATCACATATTAAGGACAGGCTGTTATCCGTACATCAAATACCATTGCTCTAAACGTGCTGAGCAGGATTTAACTGTGGACGATTATTTCTTCAGATTCATCAAAGTTTGTAACTTGGGTAATGCAGTTTTAGTTTATTTTTTTAGGAAAGATTACATTTTGTTGTTGTAGGAATACCCTGTTTAGCGTACGGTATTGCAGCGAAATTTTTAATCAAACATTTGGAAGTGGTGCATACTGCTAAAGGCCCGGTAACTATTTACTTCCTCTATCCTGAAGACAAAGGCTCAAGATACTAAAGGTTAGCTCTACCAATATAATATAGTTGATATGGATCTAGGTGAGATGTCCATAAGAATCTCGCCGCGATCTTCGTCGTATATTCTAAAGGCTTCCACGTAATTGTTGCTCCTGAAATGGACAAATATTAACGTTTATAACATATTTCAATATGTTTTAAATTTGTGAAGTTCATATACTGGTATCAATAGATAATTTGTATGTGATTTGATGGGGTTATCAAAATAATTAAAACGTAAATAATTACTTGTTTAAGACAACGATGGTCGTTCCATTATCAGGTCTTTGAAAGGCGATTACTTTTAAATTCTCGTGTTTATCAATGTCGAAACGAATCGATTGCTTCGGCAGGAATTTGGAGAAGTGTCCCATAATATAGAACATGGGTTGTTTAAAGAATTCCCCATTGGTTGCGTTAACAATTATAGGTGAATCGACGTTGTTGTTGATATACGTTGGTCCCCCTGTCAAATCCAGAGCAACGTTCCAATCCATCCAACCACCCAGCCAGTTTTCTAAATCCTGAAGTGTAATATGTAAAATGTAAGGGTTATTAGTATTGCAATGAAATATGCCTTACATCAATAATATCAGTAGCATAATCTTCAGCTCTGTCCCATGATCCCAATTTTACAGCATCTTCAAAGATGAACGTTCCTGCGTGAAATATGATTCTATTTACTTAGTTAATGAATCGTGGATAATCAATTATATACCTCTGCAAGCTTCAGTTCCAAGAAGGAATAAATCAGGGTGTTTCTCGTGAAAATTGGCCACCCATTTGATCGGTACAATCATATCCCAATACCAGTGAATGCCAACTCCATCCAAATACTTCTTGAACTCTTGATCTTCTAATTGCTATAACAATACTATTTTAATTTATATTTTCTAAAAGAATTACAAACCGAATACCTTTTCTAAAATTGGAAGCAAAAATCTTTGGTCATCCAACGCAATCACTTTCAAATCAGCGTAGGAAGAATTCTTAATGGTTGGCCCTAAATTGTCCCTCACCCACTTAGTCTGGTTTCAATGAATAGCGTTAGTATTGAAATGCAAATATTAAATAAAAAATGGTTTACGTGATTCTTAGGTGTGAAACCCACTGTCGGTATTCTATTGAATGGAGCCAAGACCAAGCTGAGTTCGTTTCCGGTGGTGATGCCCCAGAACTCCACGCCTTGCTCTTTGTACAGATCCAAAAACCTCAAGCAATAGTCCACCCACGCCTGGTAATATTCCTGCTTGAGGAAACCGGAGCCAGCGTAATCGTTGTTGGTCTTCCATTCTTTAGGAGAAATCCAAGCCGACGCCAGAAAGTCCAATTTCTTATTCGACATCCTCTCAGCAGCCTTGATCAACGGCAACTAATACGCAATTGATCACAGATTAATTCATATAACAATTATCTAAATAAATACTTTCAGTTCGAAGTCTTCCTTCGACAAAGTGTAGTTTTCGGCGGAGAAGGTCGGGTCTTGGTCCAAATACGAATACCCGTAGGTGGAGAAATCGGTTCCGCCGATTGGGACTCGCACCATGTTATACTCGATCCCGTCCTCCGAAAAGTATGATCTTGAAAATCAACACCAGTTGCAAATCGCGAAATTATATTATATTTATACCTAAGAAGATGTTCTCTTGCTTTCTCGTTCAATCCCATGAGGTTCACACCGACGGCATCGGTAAACGCTCCACCGAATCCGATGATCTCCTGGTAAGTCTTTAACCTGTTTATGGTCAAAGCCTTACCCGAAGCTTTCCCGAAATTCCCGGTAGTCTTTGTCAATCTATGCCCACGTTTGTTGCTCGTGTACAGGACGTAACTACCCTCCGGTTGCTTCTCAACGGGATCGATGGTATCGCAATAATCTGCCGTGCAGACGCACACGGTCGCACCATTGTTGAAATCCCTATGGTCGCAGTCTTGACTTCCAACCACTGGATGGTAAAAAACATTAAAATATTAGAATTTTCTTGATGCTCGAGAAATTAGCTTATTAGAGATGATTTTCTTGTGTGTTTTAAAGCAGTTGAATTGCAGATTATGAGATTTATATGCACTTACCGAAGGGAAGGACTAACAGTATAACAACTAAACGCATTGCTCGTTTCCTGCTGTTCGGCTCGCCAATCGAGTTACATGTGTCGCGTTTGTTAAAGATCCGAACGCTTTATGTAGCTTTTATTTAGTTGAAGCCTTCCTAATATACTGCTTGTGCATATGTAAACGCACTTGACTACAATTTATCATTTATTTGTGGTGTTTATCTTTCGAGAGTTTTGATTTGCAAGTGCTCGATTATCTTTCATTGTTTTCCATTATTGTTGATCTTGAGATATGAAATGCTATATTTATTTATTTATATTCATTATATAATTTTATTTTCGCACTTTCATTGCGTTTGATCAATAAATCGCAGCTGAGATTTTGTTCATTCAATGCAATCAACTAATCCCATTATTTTCAATTAAAGTTTTAATCTGGTTGTCGGCAACTACCAATGGTTTAAGTGAGCATTCAAGATCTTCACACATCGTATCATCAACATGAAATTTTGCAAACCAATTTTTCTTACAGCATCTTCTAATATCTTACATATCTTTTCTGTTTATGTTGCATATTTTCCTTTCCAGAAATTACAAATAAAAAACTATCAAACACAGATCTTGAGATATGAAATGCTATATTTATTTATTTATTTTCATTATATAATTTTATTTTCGCACTTTCATTGCGTTTGATCAATAAATCGCAGCTGAGATTTTGTTCATTCAATGCAATCAACTAATCCCATTATTTTCAATTAAAGTTTTAATCTGGTTGTCGGCAACTACCAATGGTTTAAATGGTTTAAGTGAGCATTCAAGCATCTTCTAATATCTTACATATTTTTTCTGTTTATCTTGTATATTTTCCTTTCCAGAAATTACAAAAAAAAACTATCAAACACAGATCTTGAGATATGAAATGCTATATTTATTTGTTTATATTCATTATATAATTTTATTTTCGCACTTTCATTGCGTTTGATCAATAAATCGCAGCTGAGATTTTGTTCATTCAATGCAATCAACTAATCCCATTATTTTCAATTAAAGTTTTAATCTGGTTGTCGGCAACCACCAATGGTTTAAATGGTTTAAGTGAGCATTCAAGCATCTTCTAATATCTTACAAAACTTTTCTGTTTATGTTGCATATTTTCCTTTCCAGAAATTACAAAAAAAAAGTATCAAACACAGATCTTGAGATATGAAATGCTATATTTATTTG